TTCATTCAAGTGAATACTTCAATCGCTAATCGTCTGGCTGTAATGAGAGATAAACCAAAGAGATCAATATGAGAAAAATATAAATCATAATGTTTTTCTAGTTGACAGATAGGTGAATTTCCACATGCATATGTGTGATATATCCTGTGATAAAATAGGTTATTATTTCTCGTGACTCTGATTTTGGAATTTAAACATAATTGGCCCAAAATTGAACTACAATCTATCTTGGAGTTAATCAGCTTGTGGAGAAAAATTAAATAACTTAACGTGAGCTGAGTTTCAGGATTTTATAATGTCGAAGACTAGCTTCGTAACCATGGAAGTGTAGATGCCTGTTAAATCTATAATTTAAGTGAAAAATTAATTTTTTTTTGGATACTCTCAATTCGTTGAATGTACTTCTGATACGAAGGATTCCATATCAAACTCGCAAATTCAAGATAACTTCTTTCCAGTGAGTTGTAGAGGGTGATAATAGATGATGAGGTTTTGAAACCTCTGGTTATTCGTAATATAAAGCCCAGATTTCTCAGAGACTTTTTTGCAATTAGTTCAATGTGCTGCCCAAAATTCAATTTGGAATCAATGATGACTCCAAGATCACGGATATGATCAACACTTCGTAACCTGGAAAATGATATTTTGTGATACTTTCTGGTGTTTAGATGTAATTTATGGTCAGAGTAAAAGTTTTGAAATCTGTGAATATCAGATTGGAGGTCGATGCAGTCGTTTATATTACTGATTGTTTCGTAGATTTTCATGTCATCAGCATACTGGGAAAAATTTGAGTACTGAAAACAGTTGCCAATATCGTTTATGAAGAGAGTAAACAGAAGTGGCCCCAAGTGTGATCCCTGTGGTACACCGGAGGTCACCTGTACGTAGTTTGATGAATAGTTATTCAATTTAACGCATTGGCTTCTATTTTCAATATAGGATTCTATCCATCTGAGCAGATTGCCGTGAACACCGATATTCCCCAACATAACCAGCAGTGTAGGATGGTGAACTTTGTCGAATGCTTTAGAAAAGTCGGTGTACACGACATCCACTTGTTTTCTATTGTCCAAATATTTTGAATGAGGCATTAGATTTGTAACTACAGACCTACCCTGGAAAAAGCCATGTTGATCCTCGCTAATAATATTTTTGAACTCAAAAAACATTTTTTTTGTTATTATGAAAGTTCTAAAAGTTTGCCAGGTATTGATAACATGGATATAGGTCTGAAATTTGACACAATATTTTTATTGCCACTTTTGTGTATTGGTATTATCTGCGCCTGTTTCCATTTATCTGGAAAAATCCCTTGCATTATAGATTTATTATAAATAATTTTAAGAGGAACGCTAATGGAATCGCGACATTTTTTCATGAATAAAGCAGGTAAACCATCTGGTCCGGGACCTTTGTTAGGGTCTAGATTATTAATTTCATCAATAATTTGTTTTTCTGATATATTACGGATTGTGACTAATTTGTGTGTACTGATAGCTATTGGCTCGATATCGGAAGGGGTATCTGATGGAACAAACACTTCAGAGAAGTAACGAGAGAATTCCTCACATATATCTTTGTCGTCAGTGAATATTTCATTGTTAGACTCGACAAATGACGGGGTAGTTTTAATCCGTGACTTGTTAGCCACGTATGACCAAAAAGACCTAATATTAGTTTTCAGATTAGTTTCCTTGTTCTCAATATATTTCCGATAATCTGTTTTTATAGAAATTTTAACCTCTTTCCGCAGATTTTAAAAAGTAGTGCGGTCCAAGATATTATCGTACATTTTCCACCTTCCACGAATTCTATGTTTTTCTTTGATGAGAGAAATAGTATTGGTAGAGTACCAGACAGGATACCTATACGTGGTTGATTTTTTCCTCACATATGTAGAAATTATTTGGTTTATTTCCTCATAAAAAGCCGTAACACAGTCATTTACAGACAAAGGTGTCAATTTCTCGAGCCAGTTGACATTATTTATTTGCTGATTGATAATATCATAATCAGCGGAGCGAAACTTGACGTTATTGAAAGGCATCATTTTTTTTAAGGAGGATTTGTTAGCAATTGTTACATCAAACTCTATTGACTTGTGATGTGCATCTTCTGTTACAAAAGGTGCATCACAAGCCAATACATTTATCTCTCTACTGTTACTGAATACTAGATCAAGAAGCTTACCATGCGCGTTATGAATACCATTGAACTGATTGAACTCTAGTAAATTAAACGTGTCAACAAGGTTTTCTCCATAGGCGCAGTTTACTTCAGCTGCAATATAACATTTCTCCGCAGGCTCATAATTCCAAGAGATATTGGATATTGGGCACGTTATAATCACCTACCACAACAACTAGATCATTTAGATGATTTGAAATAACTTCATTCACTTTATATAAATGAGAACATACATTATCTACACTAGCATAAGGTGGAGAATGAACACAGCAAATGAGTAAATTTGTAGTGCTGTTGAGTCTCACAGAAACTCACAGGTCTTCGCATGCTCCTTGGCATGACCAATTTTCATGAGTAGTGGAAAGGTATTTTTTATCGACGGCAATTATTAATCCACCTCCATCCAGCTTGCCAGTAGTGTTGAGATTCCTGTCTTTTCTATGGACCTGGTAATCACTCAGATTGAAAAGTTCTGCATCGAAAATATTAGAGTTCAACCATGATTCGGTTATACAGATGATGTCTATTGAGGAGTTCAAAGTTGCTGTATAAAAATCGTGTGTTTTAGTTCTGAGTCCTCTAGTATTCTGGTAATATACTGATAGCTTGCCCTCTGCGCTAATGATAATGATGATGAAATGGGATATCGTTCGCGAACGTCTACTTCACATTCTGAAGAGATTGTTCATTCTTGATTAAATAGATTCTGCCACTTGTAGGATGCCTCACGTAAATTTTGCAATCACGTGTCCAGCAGGACGCTTGGATGGACTTACTGAAATCTCTGGTGGTTTTATACAGCATTTTATTATGAGGAGTGAGATGATAATTTATGTAGACACCACCGTTGAATGTAGAATCATTAGGTAACCCAATCTCTTGAAGCTTCATTCCCTTCTTCGCTTTTATTGCAGAAATTATCTTATCCTTTTCTTGACGTGATTTGATTTTTGCTACGGGACTTGGATAAAGTTTTTATATGCCAGAAAAAGGTAGTGAGGATAATTTTCGATTTGAAGATAGATGGCTCATGCCGGGGAATATTTAAAAAAAACAACATGTTAACTGTCCCAGCCTTGTTTATTTATAAGGCTATCAAATTCCAGACCACACATGAAAATCACTTCAGCAGTCACATAATGAATCATGAACATAACGCACGAGACTAAAAAACAACTATAGTTACCCAATCCACAAAAAGTGTATTTTCGAAACAAGTCCACTGTACAATGCAATAAAATTGTATAATAATCATCCGGATGAGATAAAAGCTATTCAAAATTCCAAAAGATTCCTTGGCTCGGTACGGAATTACTTACTCAGTATGGAGCCATACTCAGTCAGTGATTATTTTTAATCTGTGGTAATGTTTTATTTCTATGCTTATTTTTTTTTTATTGAATGTTTATACTAGATTTTAAACTGTATGAATGTGACTTACTTCTCAGACGCGTAAGACAACTCTGTAGAAATGAATAAATTATCTATCTATCTATCTATCTATTGTGGATAAATTTTCACCTGCTTTCTCTGGAATGCCATTGATTTCAATATTCTGCATTCTGGCTTGTTGCTGTATATTATTTATTTCGGATTTAAGAGTCTCATCATCATTTGATACAGTTTCAACATTGAGTCGAAGTTCAGGGATTAATTTAATTTTATCTTTGAAAACAGTGATTTTACGGTTAAAATCGTCGATTTTATCACCGTAAAATTGAAGTGACTCCTGTACTGAGGTTTGCTGAGATTTAACAACACTCAAATCAGCCTGAAGGGTATCCATTTTTGAGTCTAATTTGTGGAGAATTGCAGAAATATCAGAGGAATGACTACTTGTTGACTCGGCTTCTGCGCCACTGTAGTGCAGCGAGCGCATCTGTAGAATAGTCCTGGTATTTTCTGATAGTCCTGTGGAAGCGCTGTTGGCAGGCAAGTCATATGATTGTGAGTACCACAAATCGCACATCGGACTGCCTCCTTGTGACGACTGATCGTGCCGGAGCATATTGTACAGGTGTCGGGCATTGCACAAAAACTAGTTCGCTCAAAAAAGTCGAACAAAAACTCTAGTCTCGAACTGCCGATATATCAACATATACACGTTATGTCGTGATTATATCAACACGGTTGAACTTTCCAAGTATCGGATTGCACAGTTAGGTGGCGAAAATTGTTTTATAAAACTCACGAAAGTCTCACTTGAAACGCCTAACTTGTTACCACAAAAAAACACGAATTTAGCGGAGCGAACAAAAGCGTGTCCTGTTATCGGAAGAAGTGAGAGAACCCCTTATTACCCAATACGACACCAATCGCTGGAAAGATGGTGGTGGTGGTGGTCCTCAATCCTCATTTTTGCCCTATACTTCACGTCCACTTATCACAGTATTCAAGGGAACATATCGATCAATTGGTCTATCATACTGATGCAAGTGTTTCTCACCTCAATGCCGATTGTTTTTAGTTTAGATATTATTCATTTTTACGATTCAATGTATAGATTTCGGGAGGATGTATTTGAATGTCCTGCATGGCATTAACCAGGAAAGTAGTTGTGTTTCTTCATTTTTTATTCTCATTCAGAGATATTGTTGAGGGGTCAACAAACTCCAATATAATAAGATGTAATAATATCAAAATTTGGTAATCCCGGTAAATTCTACTATGCGAATATAACTTATACTCTCACTTATACTGTACCTATACAGGAGTCAACTCGACCTCCGTAGCATAATCAGGTATCCTATCAATTTGCTGCAAATGTAATGAAATATATCTAGATGATATAAAAACACTTTTTTTTTCAGACAGCCACTTGATCCGTCGATCCCCTTCAGCCTACTCAGATGGCGTTTACATGCTCGCTGGTCAGAACCGTCCTAGTCCACGCAAATTGAGCCGTCTCTTCATGAAAGGTCTTGACGGGCTGAGCTCTATGAAAAACAGGACTGCCCTGTTGGCATTTTTCGGTCAACTTGTCACTTCTGAAATAGTGATGGCGAGCGAAAGTGGATGTCCTATAGAAATGCATCATATAGAAGTTGAGAAATGCGACGAAATGTACGACAAAGAATGTGAGGGAGGAAAACATATACCATTTCATAGGGCTAGCTATGATAGGCTCACAGGTCAGAGCCCAAATAGCCCCAGAGAACAGGTTAGTCACACATTCTCTGCAGTCTGCAATTATTATATCCATAACGAGCTCGAGATGAACAAAGTTTAGGAGAATTGAACACCAAACGAGTAATACGTTATCAGTGATAATAAATATTATTTTTTCCCAATATTCATATTTTCATATTTATTCTCCTCGCATTGATTCAATTTAGAAACGCTATAGCCATTAAAAAAGCCTTACGAATTCAATGACATGCGCGACACTACTACCCAGATATCACATGGACATCCAAATGGATATCCACTAAAGATCCTTCATGAATTTTGTGTATGTACTATGGACATCCAATATCTTATGGACGTCCGATGGATGTCCAAAGCGAATCAGCATGTACACCCATATAGAAAACCTTCAAGGATATACAAAGAGGTCCATAATATATCTTCCAAAGATATTCAAGTGATATCCATCGATGTTATTCATGAGACATCCTTCAAAGATATCCATAAGACATACATATCCATTCGATATTCTTCCAGGATATCCATAAGACATACTTCAAAGATATACATGAAATATCCTTCAGGAATATAACCATAAGACATACTTTAAAGATATTCATAAAATATCCTTCAGGAATATTCATAAGACATACTTCAAAGATATGGATAAAATATCCTACTGGAATATTCATAAGATATACTTCAAAGATATCCTTCTTGACGTTCGAAAGATATCCTTCGAGGATATACATTGAATAGGATCACTAATTGATGATATTGAACAAGAAACAATTGATAATAATAATCTACATCGAAAATGAAGTTGTCAAAGAATCAAAAATAGGAGTCAACAGTGTTTGTGAAACCGGAAGAGTCTTCAGCCAATCGGTCCATTTCTGTTATTGCTCTTTTATACAGGGTGATTCACATAAGAACCGACATAGAGCAGGGGCATGTAGGGGGTCCCAAAATATGGCAATTTAACGCAACTTACCTCTATACCAAGTTGCTTCACTAAGGAGATATAGGCTTTGAAAGTGAAGTTATAAATTTTGAAAAAAATCAATATCTTCGTTATTCTTGAACTTAAAGCAGGCAAATTTGGTACACTTTGTGAATGTATTTAGGGCGTTACTTGACAGTAACTAGAGTTTAATTGAAATTTGTAAAGGGGGTATACCGGGTGGCGCACCATCAATATTCAACATAATTTTGTTAACCCTTGATGGATTCCAAAAATCTCAACATTTTCATCAAAAACTCGAATAACTGAAAACGCGCGCTCTAGGTGTGTTATTTAAAATCATCGAAAATTCAAAAGTTGGCTATGAAAATAAACGTCAAACTTGACAATGAGGCAAGTGAGTTGTTCAATTAAATTAAGTAATTGTTGTTTGAGTGTTTTTAAAATGAACGGAAAGTTTTCTTTTAACGAGCAAGTTGACATGCTGTTAGTGCTATGCGTATAACTCCTTAGGAAAGTAACTTGGTATAGAGGTAAGTTGCGTTCAATTGCCATATTTTGGGACCCCCTACATGCCCCTGCCCTATGTCGATTGTTATGTGAATCACCCTGTATAATTGAGTGGGGATCAACCTTATATTTCTTGGTTTATTTATATTAATTTTTTCATCACGCGCCACGCACCTAAACATGCATAAAAAGATTATCTAAATAGTAGAAATAGGATGATTCTTATTGTAAAATTACTCACCCCTCAAAGAACGAAAAAAATATTCGGGCAATGCACAATTCCAAACTAACAGAAAACTCGAGTTAACAAGACAAGAACACGGCAAGGTTTCGGCACTTCTGGCTTCTGACAGATAAACGTCAAAAAAACGCCATCGAATCACTATCGGCCCCAACAATGAATGCCTCTACAGTATGTTTTATATTAATCACAACGGAAAAAGCGAAAGAGAAGTTGGTGGAGTACGGGATTTGAACACACGGATTATTTGTTGCATTGACAAGGTGGTACGTTGCAGGTGGTATTGACCAGGAATTGACACCAAAATCAATCTTGCAAATTGAACACATTCATAGTTTCGGTGGATATCTTATGGATATCCTTAAGATATTTAATGAAGGATATCTATGTCGAATCCTGCTATGGATGGATAAGAAAGATAAATTGATACTATCAGAATGAATTCTGCAAATTGAACACATGCATAATTGCTATGGATATCTTATGGATATCCTCAAGATATCTACTGAAGGATATCCATGTCGAATGCTGCGATGGATATCTCATGGCTGTCCAGTCAATTGATTCCTGAGGTGTAATTACAAAATACAAAACTCATGCATCAGACTTTCATTCGGTATTCGGAAATTTGAAGACATTAGTACAGAATTCAGTAACTCTGGTTGGCTGAGGTTGAACGTTCCACAAAATCTACATCTACTGTCAATCACTCATAAAGTGTTAGTAAATAAATCTCCTGAATATCTTCTTGATAAATTGAGAACGTTTTCAGTACTGAACGACCTCTGCACACGCAATAGACACGTTCTTGTCATTCCTCCTCACTCTTCTGCAATATACACTAGATGATTTTCATACAATGCTGCTAAGTTTTAGAACCAGTTGCCCAATGAATTTAGACTAAATACACTCAGTAACTTCAAGAAAAGATTAAAACTCCTGATGAAAAATAGTCAGTTTGTGTTAATTCGTTGATGAATCTCGCTCCGGAACTCAGCTTTGACATGTTCGAATATAAATATACCTACCACAAAAGTCTTGAGATTTTTTTTTATTTCTAATTCTACTAAGTATAGGTACTCTGCAATAATATTATGAATCTCATGTATTTCTTTTTTATTTTTTGTTCTTTGTTTTTGTGAGGTCAACTTGAAAAACAGCTATATCTGACACTTCGCCTTTTCATCAATCAGTTATTTTTCATATTTGATTCAATGCTTTGTATTTTATGTATAAAAATTGATTTGATGAATAAAGCCGCTTTATTATTATTATTATTATTATAATTGAGTGTAATCCCAAAATATTCGTTACATACCTATACAAAGAACTGAAATTAGGCCTAATATTCAAACGTTGCCTGTTGCCTGATTCATAAGTTGATTTTTAGATGTGAATTTTCAAGACTAAGAAATTTAAATACCAATATGTTTGTAGAATCATCTGTACGAACTGTCCTCAATATAAATCTAGAGGTTTTAGATATATTCAACCGTTTCAGTTCTTTCCACTAACCCTCTTGATCTCTGAGATGTTATATGTTTTCTTTTTATTCAATTATAAATATATTCGATATTGATAGTAACCAATTAGAATCTAGAATTTCGAACTCTCCAAATAATATGAAAACTTATTCAGGTGAACCAGGTAACCAGCTGGATAGACGGTAGCTTCATTTATAGCACAAGCGAACCATGGGTGAATGCGATGCGATCTTTCAAAAATGGTTCCCTACTCACAGACTCGACTGGAGATATGCCGATCCGGAATCATATGAGAGTTCCTCTATTCAACAACCCTGTTCCACATATGATGAAGACCATGAGCACTGAACGACTATTTTGTAAGATTTCAGCTTCTATGTCTTATACCTTGATGTTTTTTTTTCAAGAAATTTGTGATCCCTCCATTTATGTGTGACCTCAATGTTCTTGAATATTCAATGATTTCAAAACTACATAGAATTTGTGTGAATCTGCATTTTTATACTGTTAACGAATCAATTGAATTGAGGGTTGAAGGTAACTCCATTTAACGAAATTTGAATTTTATCATTGTTTGAATGGTGGATTTCCAACCACTTGTAGGGCGCCAAGAGGATGGAATCAGAAGCAAATTTATACCTATAAATAAACCGAATTTCCATACAAAATAAATAGTAGATCAACAAATCCGAACCCTCAACACCGCATAGGTGATCCATCCATGTGCTTGAGTCGCATGGCCACAGTCTCTTTGAAATATCGAACTCAGACTATCATTTGAAGGTCTAAGAAATTCTTTGTAGGTATACCTATATACTATCAATGTCTATTCAATTTAAGAGTATTCAGTTGAATATCTGATGCGAAATAAACGTTATTCAGGGTCGAAGGTTTATTGACTTGAATGAATATATTTACTGAAAATCTTAATTTGATAATATGAATCACTCCTCTTGGTGATCGTATCAAGCTCACATTAGTTTTTTACCATCAATAAATTGGAATAAAGTGGAACGGAATGTAGCCAAACTAGGTCGTTTATAGGCATTCTAATAGTCAAAATACGACGACACTATGTTTATGTTTTTTTTCAATGTGTTTGAATCCTTAATGGATACTACGAAGGGCCAATCTCTTCGTGACACTCTACCCCCTTTCAGGCATTATGATCGTGCCTTCTACAGCGTTGTACAAGTTATTCTCATTTTCTGAGTTGAGAATACCGTCTTTATTATTTCATGACACAAAAATATGAATCGAATGAGAAATTAATTCTTTCAGTCATTACGAAGTTCATATACATCCTCGACTTGAGTATGGTGATTGGTAATACGTCTTTCCGAGTTGAGATGAATAACTCCGTTTATACACGTACATCATTTCATTATATTCTTCTATTCATTCTAACAACAATAACCTACAACATGACTGTCCTCGAGAACTGTCGAACAGGAAGAGAGATTTTCTCTCAGGCACCTAGGTAGCCCTGAATACGCATGTGTATTTTTAAGACGTGACTAGTTTTACACCCTACAGGTGACAGTGATCAAATCTGGTCTCCATACCAAATGAAAGACATCCAACTTTAAGAGATAACTCAACGACTGGCCACCCGAAAGGAATCGTTACTGATGCACATAGTAGCCTTTTTGGGGGTGAATATTTGGTCCCTCTTATTCCGTCAATCTTTTAACAAAGTTTAGGGCCTCCTGTGTCCGTAACTGTAGTGTTGTGTTGCCTTTATGCCAAGACTATATATCGTCGATATATCCGAGGGATTTATGCTTCATATCTTCAAGTTCTTGAGGTAGTGCGTCCACAATCAGATTCCACAGCAGTGGGGAAATTACTTCCTACTGGTCGCACGAGCCAATAACACGATACATGGTTCTTTGTTATCCTCTTTTTTAGAGACCCGATGATGGAGTTGAGGTATTCCTAAGAAGGTCTAGCAGACTATCATATCGTCGGTATAACCGAGGGCTTTGTGCTTCCTATCGTCAAGTTCTCGAGGTAGTGCCACGGTAGTGCGTTCATGATCAGATTCTATAAAAGTGGGAAAACTACTTCCCTATGATCTAGTTCCCGAGGTAGTGCGTTCACAATCAGATTCCTCAGAAGTGGGGAAATTACTTCCCTATGGTTGCACGAGCCAGTAATACGATATATGTATCGTGTATATGGTTCGTCGTTAACCTCTTTCTCAGAGACCCGATGATGGGGTTGAGGTATTCCTAAGAAAGTCGTCAGCATCATGCATCCTTTCAATACTCTTACACCCCTTCAACGACCTGATTCATTGCAGCCAGTTTTGTAGTCATAGGTATTGGTCACAGTGTATTGGTATTTTACTAGCTTTTCTGATTGGTCTCAGAATTTTTTTGATATTCTGTGTAAGTTTTCTCTCTATAGGATTCCTTATGAATTTCTCCTTTGTTTCAATTCGATGTCTGTTTTCACTGTTTCATAGGAATATTATTGTCGTCGATTGTCTTCATCAAAAATCAATTCAATCGATATGAAATCACTCATCAGGAACAGCCAAGAAGGCAGTCATTTTTGAATTGAATAACTTATTCAAAATTGGATTGACAGGATTCATCTCAACAATTATACAGGGTGTTTAGTTACTAATTGGAGATATTTTCAGCTATGAAATCCTGAGCTCAAAATATGGATATTCAACCCATATCACCTAGATAAAATGTGCATCGTGTCTGTTTCACTTTCAACTCGTAATATTTCGGAAAATGATGACTTGGTCGCTATGAAGGAAGAGTATAGAGATATTTAGGTAAGTAAGAAGAAATTATAGAAGAATCAAAACATGTGATAAAATGGCAATTCGACCAGCGGCGATGAATTTTGGAAGGATCAACCAGTCACCTTCTCCTCTCGTACTCCTCTGGTAGTAGCCAGAAACGATTAAATCACATATTTCAGTAGGTTTTATAGTATCTACACATCCCGCCAGATATGACAATGATACGTCAAATAGTTTCAAAGTGCTAGGCACCAAAATTCTAAATTTTCGAATAAAACACCCTGTAACTCAGGCAGGAGACACGTTTTATCTAGGTGATTTAGGTTAAATCTTCATATTTCGATCTCATGAGGATTCTTTAGTTCAAATATTTCTAACTATTTATGAAACACCCTGTACATCTCTGCCTAATATATTGAATTCAAAAAATCAATTTCTATTCGATTTGGGCCTAAAACATTAATTAATACCTTTATATAATACTGTATATATCTTAAACAGAAGAAGAGAAATTGTAACCATTGAAAATACCTTACCTTACTGTTGAAGCCAAATCTTACAACTATTTTTTCAAGTGGAGGGATCTGAAATAGAATCACATTAACCAAAACTTCGTTAAAGTGTCACTCAATCTAGGTAAATATTTCATTCGGAACTTGTGCTAAATATTATTTTTCATTTCAGTATTGGGCGACCCCAGAACAAACCAGAACCCAGCATTACTCACAATCAGCATCCTCTTCTTCCGCTGGCACAATGTTGTATCTTCCAGAATCCAGAAACACAACCCCGATTGGAGTGATGAGGACATTTTTCAGAAAGCACGGAGAATAGTTGTGGCAACCCTGCAAGTATATCGCTCAAATTAAATCCTTTAAAAAATACATTGTTCACACGTCTCATACGAAATTCAACATTTTTAAAAAACAATTCAAACCAAAACATACATTCATTTATTCGATGAACCTGTTTGCAAGTTAGTCGTTTCGACTAAACAGAGTTATGATTTCATCAATACATCATAAACATTGAATCGTAACAATTGTTCAAAGAGGTAGGCATTGAAAATCTGCTAGGTATATGTTGGTTCATAAGTAGGTACTTATCCCGTGAATCAATTTGAGATTAGAAATGATATTCATATAACTAAATCATGTACTTTTCCCGCTCGAGTTTTGGGATTGGAAACAATGCTACCTACCACAAATAATTATAGACACAGAACTGTTCTTGTAGATAGTGAATTTTTCACTGTGAGATTTGTTCCACTTGTTAAAAAACTGATTATTTTGTCATTCTTCAAGTTGAAGTGTTTGGTATTTATAAAAAAAAAACACCTCCAATCTTATTTCAGATAGCTGTTCTGCTGTTCAGCATGGAAATGCGTAGCTTCACTCTAATTTGACCGACCTCGTATGTTTTATAATAACTGAAATTCCTATGGTGGACAGAGAGTGAAAAATAACTACTACATTATATTTTGGAAATAATAGCTCATAGTGAATTATACAACAACGTTTCGATATTCTCGAAAATCAGGAGGGAGGTTCGAATTATGAATCTGAGATTGAACATTCACAATGCATCATGAATCAATCTATCATTGCGATTGGTCAAAATTGCGTTTACCATTCCCAATAATAGAGCCATAGTCATATTCAATTTGTCAATGTCATCAACCACAAATACAACTCACAATCGAAAAGGAAATTACTTGATGGATACAACAAACATTTTCCCTAATTCATTCATAGCTAGTCGAAAAGGAAATGGTACATTTTCTGGATCTTTTATACCATCTCGGATATGTCTAAAGCACACTGATTTTAACCAGTCCAAAACAGTCTTGGTAATATTTGGACATAACTGTGAAAAAATAATGAACAATCCCAATCTCAATATTTGGTGAAACTGTGGTAGGTACCAATAAGAACATAAGACATATGAAAGGGCCAATTTTACCAAAAGGCACATAAGGCCCGAGCCTTGGGCTCGGTGGAAAAAGGGGCCCAAAAAGAGCTAATTAAAACCCATTCCAATTCGAATTTGAAAACCGCAATAGGCCGTTCCTGAACGACAGCATTGGATTAAATCAGGCTTAGATTAGGATAATAATGACATCAATATACAGTGTGTTCATAATATTAATACACAGCATATGGGAATCTCGGAAACGGTTGCGCCATCAGAAATTTTTCAAATTATTCATAGTTTTTCAGTTGAATCAGAAATAGTGAATTTTTGGAAAATCTATTTGATTTTATCCTTTATTTCTATTGGAGGTATAGAAAAACTGAAAATAATATTCCATAGCAACTGTTGATGTAATATAACTTGGTGATATTGATCTCAAATACTGTCTGTAGGTTAATCGAGGAGGTGGTACATTCATTATTCCAAATTTTTTGTGATTTTCTCTCCTCGTTTCTATAAAATAAAAAAAAGGAATATTATTTCAATATACGTGTAGTAAGGACAAATCAGATCTCTTTATGCGACGTTTCGTATTCGTTGAACCATCATCGAGTTTTTTCAATACGGCTCTGATTATGTGTTCACAGATTCTGAAAGCTTTTATTCAACCCAAATACAACCATGTAATAGTATATTACGTAATATGTGTTGTAAGGTGCATATTACGCACGAATGCAAAAGTTACGCACGCAGCCGCGGAGTGGCGAGTGCGTAATTCCATGAGTGCTGTAGCTGTCTGCTGGCTCAGACCGTCCTGATGTCTTCAGAACGATCAAATACGCTGGTTTCTGAATGAATATGTATTTCAAAGAACAATGACTTTTATTGACTGAAGAAAAAAATCTTTACTTGACAAAAATTGTCAAACTCGAAACTACTTCCTTATACAGGACGATAAAAAATGGAAATATATTAAATTCAACAACATTCTCCCCCCCCGATGAGGAATATGATTCTTCATCCATTTCTTCGGACATCTAATATACATAGTTTCGAAACTGGTCTTCTGAATACACCGTCTTGTGTCTTGATGTCGGCAACTCGAACGCGGCCATCTTTTCCTGGGAATATAGCAACTACGATTCCTTTAAGCCATAAGTTCCTAGGACTTTGATCATCAGCTACAATAACAACGTCGTCGAGTTTCAATTTTCTATTTTCTTTTGTCCATTTTGGTCGATTATGTAGGCTAGGTAGGTACTCCTTCATCCAACGCTTCCAATATTTATTACTCAAATCTTGTACAATCTTCCATTGTCTTTTGAAAAACTTTTCATCTGAGCAATAATTCTTCAACACATGTAAAGGCTGGTTGTAATAAGGTCCCAACAAAAAATGATTGGGTGTCAATGCCTCCTCGTCCTTACTATCTAAAGAAATGTCAGTAAGAGGTCTGGAATTGACAATATTTTCGACTTCGAGAAAAAGTGTGTGGAGGACTTCTTCATGTGGGACGTGTTCTTTCATTATGATTTTTAACGATGACTTTACCGAACGTATGAGCCGTTCCCACACTCCACCCATGTGAGAAGCTGTTGGCGGATTGAAATTCCATTTGATAGATTTCAAAGTCAATTTACAGAGTAGTGTTTCCTGGTTCAGTTCAGCGACAGCTTTTTGCAATTCTTTATCAGCGCCTCTTAAATTGGTTCCATTGTCGCTATACAGTTCTGCTGGATAACCTCTTCTCGCTCCCATTCTCTCTATGGCCATTAGAGTGGAATCCGTCGTTAAAGAGTTAGCTATCTCAAGATGTATGGCACGGATGGCAAGACAAGTGAACAGAACGCCATAACGTTTTTCTCTTCGTCGTCCAATTTTCACTAAAAAAGGTCCGAAATAATCCAATCCACAATGGGTGAAAGGTCTGACATAAGGTGTTGTTCTTCCGATTGGTAAATTGCCCATTCTTGGAATTTCAGGAATTGACTTCATTATCTTGCACTTTTGGCAGTTACGACCAGTAATCTTTACTAGATTTCTTAACCCAACTATCCAATACTTCTGACGTAATTCATTCATTATAGTTCTTTCACTCTGATGGTTGAATTTTTCATGGTACGACTGAACTAATAACTTTGTGAAGTTATGTGTAGAATCTAGAATCACTGGGTTATTTTCAAACCCGAGTATATCAGACACAATTCTACTTCTGACTCTCATAACACCATGACTATCAACATAGGGACACAAATTTTGTATTCTACTACCTTTGATGTCGTCTTCAGTCTGAATACATTCCAATTCACTCTTGAAACTGGTCAGTTGCACTTCTTTCCACCACAAACGTTCAGCTTCATCAAGTTCTTCCACAGTTAGCTCATTAGAATGACATATTTTCTTGCAGCAACGTTTTCGGAATCTCAACACCCAAGCTGTACTTCTGATTAGCTTCAGCCAGGAAGAAAATCTTTGACTGTCCGGTAAAACTAACGAGAGATTCTGTACACAATTTATGTTACCTAAGAATTCCTTCTTGATTTCAGATTTGTCATTACTAACATCCATGATTTCTTCTGGCCAAGATGTGGATCCTTTTTTCAGAAAAATCGGTCCTGTCAACCAAGTAGAAGATCGTTTTATTCTCGGCATATCTCTCGTCGCTTCATCGGCGGAATTGATTTTGGTTGGTATCCAGCTCCAACTGGAACTATCGGAATACTTTAGTATGTCTTTTATTCTGTTGAATACAAACTTTTTCAGACTATTTATTTCCGTCCGTATCCAAGAGAGAACTATGGTTGAATCAGTCCAAAAGAACAGTTGGTCAATGTGAAGGTCCATCGTATTTTTGATCCGATACGCTAACTTACACCCCATAAGTGCAGCTTGCAGTTCTAACCGTGGAATGGTCATAGCTTTCAATGGACAAACTTTACATCTTGATGATACAAATGATACATCTACACCATGATTACTTTCAACTCGTAAGTAGGAAACAACTGCATACGCCTTTTCGCTGGCATCACAAAAGGTGTGTAGTTGAATCGATTTTGAAATAGGAATATGCAAGGAATAACATCGAGGAATTGATATATTAGTTATAAGCTTCAATTCATTCAAGAAAATATTCCATTTATTCGTTAGAGTACAACTTATTTTATCATCCCATTCCGTTTTCTCACGCCAGATTTCTTGTAAAAGAATTCTTCCTTTAACGATTATGTCATTTAAGAAACCTAAAGGATCAAAAATACTCATTACAAGTCGCAGTACTTCTCGTTTAGTCGGAATGAATTCGAAAGTGTCAATTTTAGCTGATATTTTTCCAAAATTTAGTTTAAACCTGAATTCATCTTTCTCAGGATCCCATTGAATTCCCAATACTCTCTCGATAGGTAAGTCCGAATCACAACTGAAATCTTTAATTGTTGTGAGTCTCATGTCTTTGGGTATATTCAACAATACGTTTTTTGAATTAGATAACCAATTACGAATATGAAATCCCCCTTTTCTATGTACATAAATGACGTCCTTGATGAGGTTTATTGATTCTTCCTCTGAATCGCAACTGTCTAAATAGTCGTCAACATAATGTTTCCTGATTATCGCATCAGAAGCTTTAGGAAACAATTTACTATATTCAGAGGCATTTTCATTTTTGACATATTGTGCCAGTGATGGCGAGCAGGTAGCTCCAAACGTCATAACCTGCATTTCAAGTACGCTTGGTTCTCGATTCCTATCAAAACCCCTCCACAAGATACGTTGTGCTGTCCTATCTTTCTTTATAATATTGACTTGGTGGAACATTTCCGCAATATCTGCGGAGAATGCTATCCTACGTTGCCTGAAAGTCCATAGAACATTCAGAAGCGGTGTTAGCAAATCTGGACCAGACAAGAGCATATCGTTTAGACTCAGTCCATGAGACTTG